TTGATCTAGCTTTAACTAGACGAATGTATATAAAATAATGATACATATAATTAATATTAATTCGTGTCATTCAGAAGACCAAATTAGTAAGCTTTTATTTTTGTCCGTTTGCATGTAGTATTGTATTTTAAGATATATTTAATGATATTTTTATTATTTTTCGACTACGATGCCCCGGAAAAGAAAAACTAAGGAAGAAGTCCGAGAAAAGGCTAAAATAGCACGCAGAAAAAGTTATGAACATAATAAATCAAACCCTGTCTTATATGCTGTAGAAAAAGAAAAGGAACGTCAAAAATATACAAGACGAAAGGAACAATATTCTGTTCAATAAGTGATATGACTCTAAGAGCCAAAAGACTCCAAAGATAAAAATGGAGAGAAAACTTTAATAAATTTTACCAAAGAAAACTTTTACGCCACATCACTGTCCCTCAGTCATATTTAGCTTAGTTTAATTATATATTTTACAAAAACATAAAAAAGAACACCGTCAAACCTAATTTTTTATTTTTTTCAAAATCTCTAAATATGCACGAAATGAAATATTCACCCATATATCTTTAAATATCATTTGCATCATTTATCCTTTTTTTTATTATTTTCTAAATTATCTATAGAATTTATTATATTTTCAACCGACTTCAAAAAGGAGGAGGTTCTCAATTCGACTGTATGTTTTTTTTTCTTTTTTTTTATGTTTGTTACCTCAGAACTCCGTCATTTATTAACCGATTTGGACAATTTTTAATTTGTTTGAAAGGGTATACTTCCAGATTGGTCCCATTTAAATTTCAAAAAAAAAATACCACCCCTAAGGGTGGAAAAACAACTAATGATGAATTTAACCTACTTCTAATTGTCATATTGACTTGAAACTTTGCAAGTATTTCTATTTCCGTTGATAGTACAGTGGTTCGGTGTTGTTGACCTGATCTGATGGCAAGGCCAGAAGGTGGATAGGTGGAACTCTTCAACGGCTAATAGTAGATACTTTGAGTTTGGGCTTATTTAGTTTGATTTGACAAGCCTAACACGTTAGAATCCTTACTTTGCTACTACTGTCTACACTAAAAGGGCAAAAATAAAAACTTATTAACAAAAAAATAAAAACCGACTTTAAACAAAAGCACTAAAAAGTAAAAAATAACTGATTGGTAGTTTTCATTTACTATACATACCTAATCAAATATTTTGGAAGTCGATGTGCTTTGGCTAAGTAATTAAAGCCTACCTATTAAATACATACCTAATCAAATATTTTCGAAATCGGTGCCAGCCCATACAAAGCAAAGCACACCGACTTCGAAAATATTTGATTAGGTATGTATAGTAAATGAAAACTACCAATCAGTAATTTTTTACTTTTTAGTGCTTTTGTTTGAAGTCGGTTTTTATTTTTTTGTTAAATAGTTTTTTGATAATTTATTTAGATATTATAATAATAATCATAACTAAGTTTTTTAAGGCTACTTGTAATCATTTAAAATGAAAATGACCCGGTTCGTTAGACCCGTTCAATCGTTCGATTGATGACGTGATCGCCAAGCCGTGCGTATGGCAGATCGATCTTCGGATCTAGTGATCGAATAAACGAACCAATTCAATCAACCGGTCAACAATGCGTCGACGGTTCGACGGTTCTCCTTTTTCAAATGAACTAGTTCAATTCATACACTAAAACAGAGTCTGTTTTAACTTTTTAGTGTATGAATTGAACCCGGGGGAGAAGCCAACTCCTACCGGGCACGTCCCCAGGTGGCGGATAGGGGCATGCCACCCGCTTAGAGGGGTGGGTGGTACCGGAGAAATCCGGCGCGGACCAAATGGCTTGGATGGAGCCGCTCGTCTAGGCCTCGAGCCAAAGACGTTGCGGCCACCGGTGGTGGGACCGCTTGATCCCACAACCGGATGATGGGTGCCGGTTGCGGGACTGTGGTCGCAGGCCCGCATTCGGCGGAGGGATAGGCCGCGGCGGGAGAGGAGTGCCGGTATTTCGGTGCGCCGTTCTCCCTACCTTCCGCGGCCTAGACGGGGCCGCCACCGTTTGATGGCGGACGCGGTGGGGCTGCAGGGGAAGAGGAGTGTCGGTGTTTCGTTGCCGCTCTCCCTGTCCTCTGCAGCCGATTGGAGGTGGCCCACTTCGGTGGGCGGTGTTTTGGTTTTATGGGGCTGCTCCGGGTACCTCTCTGACGTAGCAGAGTTGACTGTGGAGCAGCCCCATTGGTTTGGTGGTCTGCCTAGTATTTAGGCAGACCTGCCGCCGGGGCGTCGTAGTAGTTATGCGCAAGCGATCCTGCGGCGTCCCACTAAGGCGGGGGGAAGGGATGTCGGGTTTTAATGGGTATGAATTGAATATTATGTGCATACTTTAACAGGCTTAGGACTGTCTGATTTTTTTAACCAAAACGTAACTCAATAAAAAACATTCGAATTTCAACTTGACTTGTCACTGCCCCGCTATGCGAAATTTATGCATAATTGAGTAAGACTGAACAGAGAATAAAAACATTTTCGAAATGTACCTATAAGTATAAATAATGTATCGTTTAATTCTTGGAAAATTAAAAGTTAATTTATCGTGCAAGAGAAAATGATATTTACTACTTAAGTCATAATAACAAGTTTGATCTATTTTTCTCAGGTTTAATAACATAAATGTTATTTTTCTTTATTTAAATAATCATGGACTTTAAATATTCACAAATAAGACAACTATTTGCATTGTATTTTTCTTGTCAGCCAACTAGCGTTACTTACTGTGAAAATGATTTTATTTTGCATTAAGAAGTGTTATACCCATAACACTTCTTTAGACGGTTCTTTACACAGGTTAGTGTACTAAACTTTAGTAGATGGCGTTGAAGTTGAACCAATAGATCAGCCAGTCTAATTTCAATTTAAAAATAAATAGTAATAGTAATAGATTATATACGTCATCTAGTGTCACTTTCATAAACTATTTAATATTTCCAATTCTAACACTCATTCTATCGAGTATTTTAGTAAAAGATAAAGGTTTTCAATAGATGGCGCCGATCATAAATAATTAAGATCTATCATCTAACCATACCAAAAAATATCATTAACTATGAAGTTAAATATATTCCTTTAGAGAATTTATTATTAACACTATTAATGTTTTTTCTGGTTAACAGTTTATATTAATTGTTATAACTTTTAACACCCACGAAAACTCCTACACATCAAATTTCAGCGAATTGTTAGAGCCGTTTCCGAGATCGCCGGTATATATAAATAAATAAATAGATAAAAATACAAGAATTGCTCGTTTAGAAGTATTAGATAGATATTTTTCAAATTGTCAGTTAAAGGACGAAATGAGGATCAGTACAGTTCTAGCAAATTCCATAGAACTAGTATCCACGTTATTTAATAAGACATATATTTATTAATAACTGCCTCGGTGGTGTAGTGGCATGGGTGTAGCATGTACGGCTGCACACTCGGAGGTCCTGGGTTCGAGTCCCGGGTCGGGCCAAGTTTAGTTATTGAGTCTTTCTGTATAGTATGTCTCAGTAACAGCCCCGAGTTGGGAAGTTGGCGGTGTTTCACCCCCCTGCCTCGGAGAGCACGTAAAGCCGTCGGTCCTGCGCCTTAACTCTCACTGGTCGTGTCGAGCAGTGGTCCCACCAGAGTATAAGAGTGACAGGAATAGAGAGTGCACTTGTGTCTGCGCGTACACTTGTGCACTATAATATCTCCTGCGCAGTTGGCTAGTCTCAATGAGATTGGCCGCCGTGGCCGGAATCGGCCAGGAGAACATCATCAATAAGACATAAGAATGATATATCTTTTTGAATTTTCAAAATCGGACCATTACTTACGAAGATATTAAGTAATAAACATTACGCCGTTCCTGCCGGCAAAATCCATGTATGCGGGTGCGTGTGACGTCACTATGACGGAACGAACGTAGCCTGCCCACCGCCCGGGCCTCTTACTTCACAATTCAACGGAGAGCGCGCGACGGGATTAGCTACTCTATTTAGTAATTACTTATTTAGTATTTTTTCAGGTGTGTTTGTGATATTTAAATATATTTAGAAAGTATCTACATCTATACGTATAATAAAATTCTGTCTGTCTGTATGTCTCTTTTACAACGGAAAACCATTTTTTACGAAGTTTTGGGTCCTTCGGTACGTTAAAAAATAGTTTTTCTGGTTTTTTAAAAGTAGTGTTTGTACATTTCGGCACTATACAATATTTGTACATAAATAAAAAGGTGAATTAGACACAAATCGGACACTTAATTTGTTTCAAATTCATTGAAACACTGCGCGCCTTATTGCTGCCAGCGGCTTACTGGCGGCGTCCGTCATTATGACGTCACAGCTATCGCGGCGGCCAAGCGGTGAACTTCGCTAGTAATTTCTTCATAACTTCGTCAATTTTTGTCGTAGAACAAAAATTTTTGCACTGTATGTTAAAGATTTCTTAGCTCTATAAATCTGCATTCTCAACTAAAAACGTTACGGATCCTCATTACTCTTAGGGAGATAAAATTTTAAGTGATGGCAGCACTGGCAAAATGTCAACTTAGTTGTCATCGTGGAATGTGGATGTCAATTGTCATCACTGATTCATGATTTTTATTTGTTATCCTGATTCCTGAATCTGATTCACATTTCACAGAGTACATTGGTATATACTATCTGATTCCTACATCCATGATCCATGTTTGAATGATTGTAGTCATAGGAACAACAAGATTGTAGTTTGAAAATTGAAGTTTTATCAAATAAAAATGTTCAAAATATTTATTGAGTAATAAGTACATTATGTTTGATTGATGATTGTTATAATTAATATCCATGCCATCTGATTTCTATTAACAAGTATTTATAAATTTTATTTTAAGTGGTGTAAATGTTTATTCCTATTGAATATAATAATTTCCTCACATTACAATATATCGTAAGATATATTACAATATATGCAAGTACAAATCATAAAAATCTATTGTAATGGAAAAAATGTCATTTAACAGAAACGATGACCAAGATGAGGTAAACGACTACTCTAGACTACTATTTATAACTAGCATTGCCCGCGGCTCCGCCCGCGTTCAGATGACCAAAAACCAAATTCCTAGGTTTTACATAGTATACTCTTGCATTGCAGTTTTTGTATTTTTTCTCAAAAATGAAATATTTTCCCAGGGTAAAAAGTATCCTATATGTTGACCCGGATAACCAGCTATCACCATACCAAATTTCATCAAAATTTCTCCAGTAGTTTTTCTGTGATGCGGTAACAGACAGACAGACTAAAATTCTCAAAACGATAGATTCGGCCTCTGTATCAATAATAATGTTTATTTCAATAAGATTTTCCAAAAAATATCTAATGTACAGATTCGGCTTAGTTACAATTTTATTATATGTATAGATAATAATTTGTTATTAACAACATTATAACAATATTTTATATGTTTTAGGTAATGGAAGTTACTGAGAAACAAGTTGAAATTGATAATAACTTTATGTCACCACCTCCAAGTAAGACCGAGAACAATGTACAGACCAAATCAGCCAATCCTACTTTTACACCATTTCAACATTCTTCAGAGAATATACCTTCAACACCACAAAGTGTGACACAATCTCATTTATCGGGAGAAGTGACACTTACTCCTACTCATAGATCATTTACACCCCAAGCTCAGTCATCAAATCCTCACAGTTCCATGAGTGCAATTACACCAATGGCCAGTGCAGTTAATCAAGCAAAAAGCAGTATTAAGTTTCAGTAAGTGTAATGTTCAGTAAATGTAATGTAAGTGTAAAAAATAAATTGCATGCAAAATAACATAAGTCATTGGATCATTAGTAATAGGGAATATGCATGTTTTTTTATAATAAAAAAAAACTATAATTTACTATAATTTTTTTTTTTTAATATCATTCCGATATGGATACTTTAAACATCCACTGTTTCACATGCTTGGTGTGACGTCAAAGTACCATACTAAAGTTACAACTTAAGTTTGTAGTGACACAATGGCTAATCACACTATCTATTATGATAATACTTTGATATCATAATCGGTGTGACAACTTTCAACTACTTTGAAATTTGAATATTCCACCTATATTTGAGCTTTTTCATAATTATTTTCTTAATCAAAAAGAAATTACATTAAAAAACATAATTACATGTTTAATTCAAAAGTAAAAAAGATTATAAAAAAATACATTTTACCTTCATTTAAATCATACATATATTCCTTATTTCTGATTTAAGATAATATACCAAGATTTAAGAAAGTTAAGCAAGATTGAACCTATTACAATTTTACCTAATATATAAATGTATATATTTTCAGAAATTGTGTTTCTACTGTCAGTTTGGGTTGTGAATTAAAGTTACTAGACATTTATTGCCGAACAAGATATTCTGAATATAATCCTGCAAGATTTCATGGAGTGGTAATGAAAATTCTAGAGCCAAGAGCAACAGCGCTAGTTTTTAGGTAGTAAAATTGTATTTTGCTTTGTAATGTTGCTTTCTATAATGTTTAAATAAATTAATATTAAAAACATATTTTTAAATTAGGATTTTATAGGTTTATTTTCTTTCTTTTTAGTACTTTAAAATAAGAGCTTGTTTTTCTACTATTAATTTACCTAATTTTTTAGTTTATAAGTCATGATCTTTAAAAGTAATGGCATGAGTGCACTGCTTAAGTCAACTGATTCATAATTAAATGTGTATACGAAATTTCGTGTCTGTTGACTGCTGAGGAGATCATTTGTATCCTGGGTGCACTGTAGCCAGGCTATGGTGCATTTAAGAACAGGCTAATAAAATTAAATATGTATACAAAATCTTATATGTATGCTGAGGAGACCATATTTGGAGACAACCCTGGATGCAGCAGCCAAATCGTGGTAGACTTTGGAACGAAGTGTGATAATGGAATGCTTATATAAAATTTTGTGTCTGCACTATTAGCCGTTAAGGTGTTGTTTTTGTAGAGCCAATCCTAGATGGAAAATCAGGTCATAATTATCAAAAAAAATCATTGTCATCAGAACTGAACCAACATTTAAAATTTCAACTCTGTAAGATAAGTTCAAATTCAGCTTGCAATATTTTAACCATACAAATATACCAACTAATAAACATTGCAAGTTGATTTAAAATAAGATTATAATTTTCAGGTCTGGTAAAATAGTATGCACAGGTGCAAGGAATGAACACGATTCTTATATTGCGGCAAGAAAGTTTGCGAGGATTATTCAAAAACTAGGTTTTCCTGTAAGTATTGACTAACATAAAATATTAATATATAATTTTTATTTTAATACTAGCATTGCCCGCAGCTCCGCCTGCGTTCAGATGACCTAAAACCAAACTTTTAAGTTTTACATATTAGTATACTCTTACAATGCAGTTTTTGTATTTTTTCTCAGAAATGAGATATTTTCACGCGGTAAAAAGTATCCTATATGTTGACCCGGATAACCAGCTATCATCATACCAAATTTCATCAAAATATCTCCAGTGGTTTTCTCGTGATGCGGTAACAGACAGACAGACAAAAATTCTAAAAACTAAAGATTCGGACTCTGTATCGATAATAATGTCTATTTCGATTAGATTTTCCAAAAAATGTACAGATTCAACTTAGTTACAATTTTATTATATGCATAGACTAGCGACTTACCTTCTCTTTGCTCGGGTGCATCTCGAGGTACAATAGGTAAAAATAGTTATTGTGAGTGTACTTTAGGAGATACGCAGTACACATAATATGCTATTACGGACTTTTTACACGACTGCGTGACGCAAGGGAGGGTTATGTGTTTATCAGTCTCTGTAGGTATGTGTGTATGCCTCTGTGTGTCTGCGAGCATGCGTGCGTGTGTGCGTGCGTGCGTCTGTGCTTGAGTGTGTATGTACGCATTCTTGTGATGTACATATTATGGACATCTCGCGGAAAGGATGAAACGTGTATGTCTCCAATTGCATAATATTACACTGGCGTGCAAAAAATCGGGCCACCTAAAGAAAATGGACAAACTTAAGATATGATATTTTTTTATTAATTTTGTTATTATATGTGGGTAGCTGTATACCCTAGGTACCTAAATCAATAATCGTTGAATAATTTAAATAAAAATTATTGCTCGAAAATGAGGAAAATTAAATTTAATGATTTTTCGCGATTTTGGTATTAAAATGTAAGCCGCAAATTAATGGGAAAATTAAAAGATTTCGATTGGTTTTATGATTTTTAACAATGCGTATTACCGCCTCTATTTTTAATTACAGCTTTTAATCGGTTTTTCAGAGATTTGACACACTTTTTTAGATAATCTTGTGTAATAGACCCATTCTTCCAATAAGGCGCTTTTTAATTCTTGAAAGTTGCTCGGGACTACTACGCGACTTATAACTTTTCTTTTGAGATGGTCCCATACATGCTCTATCGGATTGAGGTCAGGGCTTCGCGCTGGATAGGCAATAGTAGACACTCCGACCTCTTGAAGATACTGCCTTACTGATGTAGCAGTGTGTGGGCGAGCATTATCTTGTAGAAGCAGAAAATCTTCTCCATTGAACCTAGTAAAAGGCATCACATGATCTTCTAAAACCTCCGTTGTATACCTAGCGGCTGTAAGGGATCCATTTTTTATGAATAATAGCTCGGTTTACACTTCGTAACAGAATCCTGCCCAAAACATAACTGAGCCCCCTCCATATGACACTGTTTCCCGCATAGTACATGGTGCATATCTTTCACCTGGTCGCCGGTAAACAAAATTACGGCCGTCGGCACCATGCAAACACATTCTGCGTGCGATTTCGTCAGTAATAAGAACCTTCTTCCACTGCTCCAAATTCCAATTCACGTGATCTCGGGCAAAAAATATTCTTGCAATTCGATGTGCAGGGGTGAGTTTGGGGCCAGTTGCGGAACTGCGTGGCGTCAGGGAAGCGGCTCTAAGTCGGCGCCTTACTGTCCACTCGCTAACATTAACACCTCTCACTTCTCTCAGGAGATTTCGAACGTCAACCCCTGTGCGATGACGATTTCTTAGAGCTGATGACACAATAAATCGATCATCACGCTCTGATGTGGCTCTTCGTCGGCCGGAACCATGTCGTCGTACAAAGCCACCAGTCACTATGTAACGTTTGTACACTCTCTGGACCGTAGAACGGCTCACAGAAAAAGCTTAAGCCACTTGACGTTGACTTTGTCCAGTTTCAAGCAAAGTCACAATTCGAGATGATTCAGCCTCGGTCAGATCCATCTTGCAGTATTTCTAATAATCGCAGATCAAAGTAGAAGTGTCTTGTTCAATAATTGGAACTCAACTAAGCTTCTAAAATAACTGTGGGCTTGTTCTATTGTGGAGTGGCCAATTCTGAAGCCAAACTGATGTCGAGGGATGGAATCATTTTCGTTAAGTATTCGTGATTCGTGATCTTCGCAAGATGATCTTCTCAAACAATTTCGATAAGATTGGCTATTGAAAGTCTTCAATAATGCCATACTCTTCTGAGTCCTCTTTTTTTCTGGGATCTTTGCTTTTATATCCTTGGATACGTTCTTACTACCTCGTTTTATTGTGGTAACCGGTGTACATTTCCACGCGGCTGTTTATATTAGGTTTATAAGGTTGTTGAAGGTGGAACGTTTTTGGCGCTCCAATCAGCTCCAAGTATGAATGCTTCAATGCAGCCTAAGTGTTTTAAAGTAGTTAGTAAATACTTCTTCCTTAAGATTATGCTTCGGTGGGCAATATACAGCTGATAATGTTATCGATCCTTTTTTTTAACGTTGGGAAATGCATTTACGCACGAGGTGTGGGACTCACCGGCGTAATAAAGCCAGTACCTGCACTAAAACCCAACAAAACCTTCCCCCGTCTAAATGGGGCGTCGCAGGATCGCTTAGGCATTCAACTACGACGCCCCGACAGCAGGTCTGCCGAAGCAGACCATCACAACCATGGGGTTGCTCCAAGGTCCACTCTGCTATCAAAGAAGTACCAGAAGCAACCCGCATGGTACACCGCCCACCGAAGAGAGCCACCTCCCACCGAAGTGGGCCACCTCCCTGTGCGTTTCTTGGCTTCGCGCCCGGTTGGATTGCCGGGCACTACTGAGCCCCCCCCCACCACGACAAGGTGAACGCACGTTGGGGGGAAAATATTATCGATCCTCGTGTATCTTGCACCAATATTGTAGTTGCTTGTAGTGGTTCTGTTTTACACTCAAGATGAAGTATCTCGTTCTTGATGTATTTTTTGATAATTACAGCTGTGCCTGCATAAGCAATTCGGTCCGGGTTGAATGTTGAATATATGCTGTAATTTTTTTATTTTATGTTACAATTTGGTGTTAGGTGCGCCTCAGATACAAGAAGTACGTCGATATTTTCATGTTGTAATAAATTTTGTATGTCAAATTTGCGTTTGATTAGGCTATAATTGATAATGATTAAAAAAAGAATTGCATACTTCAGGAATTTTGATAAAATTTTATATAATGATCATTTTATATATTACTAAATATTACGAGGATTGAGCGGAGAGTAGAGGATAGAATTTTTTACGGTAATATTATCAAATTGCAATATTTCTTACAAAATAAAATAAATAGTAATTTTTAGTCTGCCTGGCTACCGAAGACGTCACTTACAATCCCACTTGTTGCAGAGATATTTGTTAGGAACTGTGCATATGTGTGTGTTTAATCAATGAGCTCTAGCGATTTTTTTTACCTAACTATGACTAAGCCAAAAGGGTGGATGACACTTTAGTAGGCCATAGAACAAAATATGTATATTCATAATATGTCACTACCACTAATTACTTTTGTTTCAAGAGAAGTGATGTCACTAGCTCTGTGATTGGTGTTTAATGATGGTATTATTGATGAATTACTAACGTTTACTAAAAATTACGTACTTAAAATATTATTAATTTTCATTAAAATATCACTCAAAAAGTATTTTCCATAACTATCAGGTCCGAATTTCGGGGTGTGAAGGCCCTGGGGCAACAGAGAAGTGGAGGCCCCTAATTATTTTCCGAATAAATTGAACAATTTTTTTAGTGAAGTGTTTTAAGTATGTATTCCAAAACATCCAGATATAGTTCAGTACAAGAATTATGCGAAATTAAATTACAGCGTTAATGAATGGAACTTTGCGAGTTTTTTTCGACGAAAAATCGTTGATGATTTCGCTAAACATTGGTGTTTTTTTATATGGATAGAAGTGTGTTAAATAAGCCTTTAAAATGACCATATAAATTATAGACTTACAGCATACAATTATATGTAATAAAAGATTAAGTCTCCATGAGTGATGAACTATTTGTTAACCTTTAGTAGTTAACTACCTAAACTTATGGAGTAGATATAGTTACGTGCATACACAAAAAAAAATACGAAACACAAAAATAGAAAAGGATCGTAAAAAAAATATTTCTTAACATACGTGAATTTATCTATAAAACATTGGCATTTGATGATAGTATTGCAGACCTATAAATTATAAAATAAATAAACTCGCAGAACCAACAAAACGCATAATAATTAATAATCATAACCCCTCTGTAACCTCTTTTTAACCTACTGCGGTGAACGAATATGGATAAATACGAATATTTAAGAACAATATAATCAATCATATTTGTATAAGTATAATAGGTAAAAGTGCGAAAAAAAACCCAAAAATTTGTCGACCACTTAGAATTTTTTTAAATCTCTCTTGTGGAGGCCCCGGGGCCGTAGCTCCGGCTGCCCTCCCCAAAATCCGGCCCTGATTACTATTAAGACTTCTGTTTCCTATAAATTATATAAAAACCTAAATCACTACATTTTTCTATTTCAGGCTAAGTTTTTAAATTTTAAAGTACAAAACTTTATTGCAACAGCAGATTTAAGATTTCCAGTAAGACTTGAAGCTCTGCAACAAGCACATGGTCAATTCACATCATATGAGCCAGAATTGTTTCCAGGTTTAGTGTACCGAATGATACGACCAAGAGTTGTTCTCCTTATATTTGTTAATGGAAAAATAGTAATTACAGGTAAATTGTTTTTTCTAACAACAATAGTTTTCTACGACACCAAAACACTAAGGAAATCCGTTAAAAATTTTTTTCTATAGATTACTCACCTTCGGGCCTCTCGGGTTTGTCCCTATAGTTACGTTTGCGTTTCGTATGGATTTCTCAGAGATGAGATATTTTCCCGCAGTAAAAAGTATCCTATATGTTGATCCGGATAATCAACTATTATCATACCAAATGTCATCAAAATCTGTCGTTGTTTTCTTTCTTATCAGACAGACAGGCCGATAGACAAAAATTCTAAAAACTAGATTCAGTCTCTGTATCGATAATAATGACTACATATTTCAATAAGATTTTCCAAAATATATTTAGTGTACAGATTTGACTCAGTTAAAAAAAATTTATATGTTGAAGATAATAAATGCATATATTTTCAGGTGGTAAAACTAAGAATGAAGTTTTTGAAGCAGTAGATATATTACATCCAATTCTAAGAAGCTTCAAGAAGAATTAGTATTATTTTAGATTGATTAAATTACAAATACCTAATAATAATCTTTTAATATGTGAATTCAAAATATATTGTGATATAAGTTGTTACTTCTTGTTTATTTATTATTAATTTTTTATTTACTAACTTTAGCTATGTTTTTCTCTGGCCAGAAACAATTTTCGTACAAACTGCTGATAAATAAATAAATATGTTGGGATATTAACACACAACACCGTCTTAGTTCCATGGTAAGCTATGAGGACTGTGTAATGTATACCAGATAGTTGATACTCTACACATATATAACTTTAAATACATACCATATTATAAACATAAACACTCACGACTGATTCTTTCTTAGATTTACGCGAATATTTGACATTTTAAATAAAACTATCTTTTCGGATTTTGTCGCGTATTTATTTGTATTTTTGTTTCCCGAAGTTTCGAATGCTTTACAGCAATCATGGTCACGGGAGAGACCATAGAGTATATTGCTACAGGGAGAGACTGAGGTGTTAGATGTCTCTAAGGTATTATATAGTTGTTACAGACAGCCTACCCACAATTAACAAAATGAATTCAAAAAATTGAAAAATGGCACTAAAGTACCTTACAATATTTTAACTTTAAAATTTTAACATTTTTATATAATTTTAATTAGCTTTATAATTGAATATAGAATATTATTTATTTAATTTGAGCTGTTATTATTATAATTATTACAATTTTAAAAAATATTAATTATTAATCTACATTTTTAGTGTTGCCATTATTATATTTATAACCATAAAGAAAAATCATAATATATTAATTATTTAAGCCACAATTGATCTATGTGTAATTTGAAAAAGTTAAGATTATTATATTATATTACTAGATTATATATCTGTATTCTTAGAACATCTTAACTCCATAAACCCTAAGTAGTATACCCTAAGTATCCTTGAGACCTTACAAATATTTTATTCTGGAGACGTAAGAAACAACCACTTTTGGTATCAGTATACAATTTTTTAAAGTGTAATGAAATTTATAAAAGTAGTCTTAATGAAATATTCTCTTTAGATATATGGCTCTCCAATTTAAATATAGATAAGGCAGTGAAACCTAATTTAGATATTGTTAATAAGCCTAAACATTGTTACGAACGCGATATATTGAAAATGATTTGTATTAAGACATTAAGTGTAGCATATCCAAACTATTATGAAATTTATACTGATGGGTCTAAAGAAAAAGCAGGTTGTGGAGCGGCCTTTTTGGATTTAAAAACAGTGACATGTTGTAAATTTAGTGTCAGTGCTCAAATATCTGTAATGTTTGTTGAACTTATAGCAATTGCCGAAGCCATTTCGTACATCCAAACTATTGATTATCAAAATTTTGTGGTTTACACTGACTCTAAAAGTGCTCTCTTTTACCTTTTAAAGTGTACAATGAATTTTAGAGGACATCCTATTGCCTTTACGATTTTAAATAATTTAAATGAACTCAACACTTCAAATAAAAATGTAATCTTACAATGGATTCCATCGCATATTGGGCTAGCTGGCAATGAAAAAGTTGACCGTCTGGCCAAGGAAGCAATTTCTGAGGGAAGTCATTACGAATATGTACCTTGGTTTACTGACTATATAGGGGATTTACGGAAAAACTGTCTAAATTTGTGGTCAGAATATTTTGATGAGCGTTCCCTTACTAAAGGAATCTGGTACAAAACTATTCAGCCTAAACTTATGGGTTCACTATGGTTTGAATTAGAAAAGATAAGTAGACAAGAGGTTATCATTGCATTTCGCATTCGGTCTGGTGACATCCCTTTAAATAGTTTTGGTTACATGATGGGCAAAGTAAGTTCTCCCAATTGTGCCCTGTGTGGTACAGTAGAAGATGTCTATCATGTATTAGAAGAATGTGACCGAGTTAAAGCTCAAAGATCATTGATATTACCTCAACGTGGAAACAATGTTGGATACTGTAATAGTATTTTAGCTAATCCTTTGTCTAATAAAGCTAAGATGCTTTATAAATTAGTTAAATTAGTGATTAAACTTAGAAGTAAGTGAACTTGTTATTTATATTATATGTATTTGTAAGCAATGATGAGGGTGACATTTTCGCTTTGTGAAAAAACCCTCTATAAAAATAAAGATTAAAAAAAAAACCCTAAAATACAATTTACAATGGAATTGGAGTCTAATAATTCTTTAGCTTTCTTAGATGTATTAGTCATACGTAACCCAGATAACACCTTGAGTCATATTGTGTATCGAAAGAAGACCCATACTGATAGGTACTTGAATGGTGAATCTCACCACCACCCTTCACAGTTAGCTACCGTGGGAAAATCTTTGTTTCAGAGGGCACGCGGGATCTGTGACGAGCAAAACTTTTTTTTTTTTTTAACGTTGGGAAATGCATTTACGCACGACGTGTGGGACTCACCGGCGTAATACAGCCAGTACTACCCACTAAAACCCAACAAAACCTTCCCCCGTTTTAATGGGACGTCGCAGGATCGCTTACGCATTCAACTACGACGCCCCGACGGCAGGTCTGCCAAAGCAGACCACCACAACCATGGGGTTGCTCCAAGGTCCACTCTGCTATCAGAGAAGTACCAGGAGCAACCCGCAAGGTACACTGCCCCCCGAAGAGGGCCACCTCCCACCGCCCACCGAAGTGGGCAACCTCCCTGTGCGTTTCTTAGCTTCGCTACTACTACTGAGCCCCCCCACCACGACAAGGTGAACGCACGTTGGGGGGGGACGAGCAACACCTGGCCGGAGAGCTGCAACATGTCAAGCCAGTTCTGCGAGACAACAAGCTGCAAATGCCGCGCCTACGTCACAGGGACCGAGTGAAACCAGCCACAGTCGAGCGCGTTCCTGCAGTCCTACCTTACATGAGAGGCGTCACTGACAAGATTGACTACATTCTAAAGCGAGCTTCAATTAAAACTTACTTCAAGCCGCCAAAGAAAATTAGTCAGTTTCTACCACCTGTCAAGTGCCACATCCCTCTACAAGATGCAGGAGTTTACAAGCTTGATTGTGATTGTGGGCTCTCTTACATTGGACAAACAAAGAGATCCATTAGAACCCGGGTCAAAGAACACATAGCTGATGTGAAGCACCGTCGCAATACAACATCTGCTGTCTGCAAACATAGTCAGGACCGCCCAAGCCATTATATTCGCTTCGATAGACCTCAAATCCTGGCGAAAGAAAACCGATATCGCCCTAGAATGATTCGAGAAGCCATAGAAATTAAAAAACATCCTAATTTCAATAGGAAAGATGGCTGGGTACTACCATCGTCATGGGATCCTATTATTAATATAATAAAATCTAATAATAAATCTAAACATAACAGACAGGTAGATGTAGTAAGTTCTTACTGTGTAGATCAAAATGATAGCATTTCTGATTAATAATATTTTTCACTTTTTCATTTGTAAATGTATGTAGTAATGTGTTGCTTAATAATTTGTCTTTTAAATAATAGCAAATTTAAATTAAAATTATTATTTTTTATTAATCTTAACTTTTTCAAATTACACATAGATCAATTGTGGCTTAAATAATTAATATATTATGATTTTTCTTTATGGTTATAAATATAATAATGGCAACACCAAAAATGTAGATTAATAATTAATATTTTTTTAAATTATAATTATTATAATAATAACAGCTCAAATTAAATAAATAATATTCTATATTCAATTATAAAGCTAATTAAAATTATATAAAAATGTTTAAGGTTAAAAGTTAAAATATTGTAAGGTACTTTAGTGCCATTTTTCAATTTTTTGAATTCATTTTGTTAATTGTGACATCTAAGACCTCAGTCTCTCCCATAGAGTATATTGCTACATATATAAAGTCTCTCCCGTGACCATGATTGCTGTAAAGCATTCGAAACGTCGGGAAACAAAAATACAAATAAATACGCGACAAAATCCGAAAAGATAGTTTCACTCACGACTAGTACAAATATTCGTGCTGATCACACAAATGAATGCCCCTAGGGGGACTAGAACCCGCGATTGCTGGCGCAGCAAGTACTACAAATATAGAGCCAAACATGTCAAAAAAAAAATGGTTTTGTAAAATACCAATATGTGTTGAATAGAGAATTTTTAATTAATAAAATTGTTTCCTTTATATATATTTTTTTCCTTCTATATAGGTTGGTAACTAAAGTTAGTAACGTTTATGTTTTAGGATATAATAAATGTTAAAAAGAACCTATCTAATCGTTTTGTGACAGGCATGCGATTTTTTCTAAATAATTACTTTTTTATAATCTAATTGTTTTTTGACCCCCGACGCAAAAAGAAGAGTGTTATACGTTTGACCGCTGTGTGTGGCACTGTATCTATTAAACAGCTGAACCGATTTGGATGCGGTTCTTTTATTTAAAAACAGGTTTTCTAGCGGTGGTTCTTTGACTTGTTTTGTCAAAATGGGTTCAACCGTTTCAAGGTCATCAGTTTATTTGTTAGTTAATGTAGAGATTTTAGATGTATAATGGATATTTACTTTTAAACATAATAGTGTGACCTAAAATTTTAAGACTCCCATGTATGCTACATATCTACACAAAATTATGGAATTCTTGAACTGATGCTGCAGCCAGGATAGTCAGGGCACTAGTACACTTTTGAAAAAATAATAGATACTATGTCGTGCTTGGATTCGTTTTGAACAGTATTTTTCATTCTACATACAATGGTGACAATTGACAACACGATGAGCTGATACTGTAGCCAGGATATCCACCATTCTAGTACGAGTATAAGTACACTTTTGAAGCTCATAAGAATAATCTCAATGAGAATTATCTATTAGAATTAGTGTCCGCGAGTAATTTAAAAAGAATGAAGTAAAATTAAAAATTTTAAGTAAACCCTGCCAAAAAAAGAACTATAAAAAGTAAAAAAATCTCTCTTGGCCTTTTTATATATTAAGACCGCTAAAGTAAATGGAACAAAAACCAGAATACAAATAAAAAGATGATTGATAATGATAAATAAAGTATTAATGGTCGCCCGAAGCGGCGACGCTGATCATCAAATAGTTTTAGGATTACAATGTAATGAAGTTTCAAAATAACAAAATATTTACAGCATCAAATTTTATTTAAAAAAAAATATTTCTTAACATAATTAACATGCTGTTAGAATGAAAATTGACATTGATTTGAAATAAAAAGATTCACAATATCACTAAATACAATAAACTAGTTTAAACTAAGAGCTACAGCTCAAACATTCATCTTTGTTTGCCAAAGAACAAGCAATCATTGACATTTTTGCTTCATCAGATTCTGTTTGTCCATTAGTAATCTTAGCTTTATCCACTGTAAATTGAATAGCATTAGCAGCTGGTTTAGTTCTTAAGTAATACATTCCTGTCTTCAGTCCCATCTTCCATGCATGGAAATGAATAGACGTCAATTTTCCGTAATTTGGTTTGGCAACATGTATATTAAATGACTGACTTTGATCTATAAAAGCTCCCCTATCTGCCGCCATTTGAATAGATGTTTTTAAAGAAATTTCCCATACTGTTTTATAAAGATCTCTTATTTCTTTGGGAATCTTTTCAATATCTTGTATGGATCCATTATTGTAGATGATAAGATTTTTCATATCGTCATCCCATAATTCAGCCTGAGTCAAGTCAGTTAGTAGATGATGATTTACAACTAGAAATTCTCCAGACAGAACTCTTCTTTGGTAAATGTTTGATGTAAATGGTTCAAAGGATTCACTGTTGCCAAGAATTTGAGCAGTAGATGCAGTTGGCATAGGAGCTAATAAAAGGGAGTTGCGTAGCCCATGTTTAGCTATCTTCTCTTTAAGAGCAGCCCAATCCCACAGGTCTGTAGGAGTCTTGTTCCACATGTCATATTGTAAAATACCTTGGCTAGCTGGACTTCCTTTATAAGAGCTGTATACTCCTTCTTTCTCTGCTAATTCACAACTAGCTTCTAATGCACCATAGTAAATAGTTTCAAATATTTGTTGATTTAAAAGTATAGCTTTCTCACTTTCATAAGGTATTCTCATTAACACAAATGCATCGGCCAATCCCTGAACACCAATACCAATAGGTCTGTGTCTCATATTAGAATTTTTTGCTTCTACGACTGGATAGAAATTGACATCAATAATTTTGTTTAGATTTTGAGTTACAATCTTAGTCACTTCTTTTAATTTTTTGAAGTTGTATTCTTTGTTTTCTACAAACATATTAAGTGCTATGGAAGCTAGATTACACACAGCCACTTCATCTGGTGAAGTGTATTGTACAACTTCAGTGCAAAGATTACTACATTTAATAGTGCCAAGATTTTTTTGGTTGCTTTTTCTATTGCATGCATCCTTGTAAAGCATATATGGTGTGCCTGTCTCTACCTGAGCCTCGATAATTGCTTTCCATAATTCTTGTGCAGGAATTTGTTTTAAAAAGCGTTTTTCCTGCTCATATTTCTCATATAGTGCTTCAAACTCTTCGCCCCAACAGTCAGCCAGACCAGGACAGTTGTGAGGACACATGAGACTCCAATTTTCATTCTTTTCCACTCTTTTCATGAACAAATCTGGTATCCATAGAGCATAAAACAATTCTCTGGCCCTCATTTCTTCTTTTCCTGTATTCTTCTTCAAATCTAAGAACTCAAATACATCTGCGTGCCATGGTTCTAAATACACAGCGAATGCACCTGGACGTTTGTTACCTCCTTGATCTACATACCTAGCAGTATTGTTGTACACCCTTAACATAGGCACAAGACCATTTGAAATTCCATTAGTACCAGCAATGTAAGTACCTCTAGCTCTAATGCAATGAGTGTGCAGTCCAATACCTCCTGCTGATTTTGAAATTAACGCACATTGTTTTAAAGTATCGTAAATACCTTCAATGCTGTCATCTTTCATAGCTATAAGGAAACATGAGGAAAGTTGTGGTCTTGGTGTAGCAGCTGAAAACAGAGTTGGACTTGCATGGGTGAAATATTTTTCAGATAAAAGATTATAGGTATTGATAGCACTATCAATGTCTTCTCCATGAATGCCAATTGAGACTCGCATAAGCATCTGCTGTGGCCTTTCCACAACCTAAAAAGTTAATATTGTGATAAAAATACTGTTTTCTTTTTTTATTAACAAGAAAATTAATTTATAATGATCAATTTGAAATTAATATTTAACATAGTTTATCCAATAAAATTCAATTAAAGAATATAATCCCAATAAGCAAAATACACATTGATTTTATAATTTTGAAAAAGATTTAATGGTTAAACATTATACATAAAACAATACCTTATTATTTATTTTCAATAAATATGATCTTTCTAGAGTTTTAAAACCAAAGTAGTTGTATTTAAAATCTCTGTCATAAACTATTGCAGAATCTAATCTGTCCTTGTTTTTCATAATAATGTTGTAGTGGAACTCCGATATCATCGGTGATCTTTTATTTGTATATGGATTAACAATGTTATATAAATCTGACACGACAGCTAAAAATGATAAAAAATATTTTTTATAAATATGCAATAGAAATTAAGAGGAAAGGTTATGTGCTAAATAGAGAATCTTACCTGAAAAGTGCTTCTTGGTTTCTTTATGAAGATTTGAAATTGCTATTCTAGCAGCTAAAATTGCATAATCGGGATGATCAGTAGTCATTGTAGCTGCAATTTCAGCAGCTAAATTATCAAGCTCAGTTGTTGTCACCCCCGAGTAAATACCACTTATTACTTTTAATGTTATACTAACCTGTTATTGATACAATTCTATATTAGAAACTGAAATAAATATTTTTTATTCTGAAATAATTAACCTAATAATAAGAATTGTACTTACAGGATCAACAAAATCATTATTTAGGCCATAACATAATTTCTTTATTCTTGATGTTATTTTATCAATATGCACCTCCTCCATTCTACCATCTATAAAAATAAACATATGTTGGACGATATTTGACGTTTGTACTGGCTAAATAATGTGTGAAATTTGATAAATTATTAAAATAATAGGATAGGACATGGACAGGACAATAAATAATATTTCTTACAAGTTGCATGAATAATTGTAACTAGATTGTAAGATCACATTGAGATTGTTAAAAGTGTATAATTTATTCTAATGTAAATTGTTATAGGTAAGTAGTCAAATACCAATACAAAGACACAAGGATTGCCAAGTTATATCTGTTAAATAATTATCAGCTATCACCATAATTATCAATAGACATATTAATCTTGATCATTTCATTCCCTGATTTAAATAATATAATACTCATGACTTATTAATTTTCTACTTACCCCTCTTAACAACAAATAGTTTACTTTTTCCAACCATTGTTATTTTGAAAGTATGCAAAACAGCAGGTACTTAAAATAAAATATTACTGAGAATTCAAACACCACACTCCAGGTCTAGATGGGAATATCTAGAAATAAAAGAATTTTATAAAAAAAACAATAAAAAAATACTTACCTATTTCAAATTTGTATCAGTTTTTAAATTTTAAAGCATAGTAATTCAATTTTAAAATATAATATTAATGTATTTTGCAAAATTTTGAATGGTAAATAATTTTAACTAGCACTACCAAATTTCATCAAAATCGGTTTAGTAGTTTTCTCGTGATGCGTCCCCAGACGACAAATATTCTAAAAACTATAATAATGACTATTTCCATAAAATTTTCTAAAACGTACAGATTCGGCTCGGAATTTTAATACATATATAAATTTGATTCATTAGGATCTAGTTACTTTCTAGGAGTTCACAAAACAGGAATGATATTTTAATTCAATTCAACCTTGATTGGGTTTCATTATCTTTGCACTTTATATTTATTGTTAAACAGAATCCACTTAATCGTAAGTAATGTGCCGTTAGATAAAATGTGGACAGTCATGGATAACACTTTTACTTTACCTGTTTCCGATAAAACATAATAATACCTAAACCTTGGTACTATACCTTTCAATACAATTTGATTTAGAATACAAAATATTACAAATAATTACACTGCTAAATTAAACGCAAAAGATTAACCTAATGTCGAGATTAATCTTTGTGTAACAACACAAGTGCGTGTTTCAGTTCTACTCTATATCATCAGTTGTAATAAAGAGAAAGTATCCACTAAGTTTAGTTGTAAATTGTATTAGAAGATCGCTTTTAAAGTGGATAAAACTCTCAAGTTTCATTTAATACTAAGTAAAGTTTGTCAATAATTGTGGCGGGAAAATGCTTCTTTAGTGTCAAATGTCAATGATCAATGTCATAGATTCACACAGTGCTGCCAACACTTTAAATTTTATCCCCCCCAAAAGTAATTTCAAAGACCCCTTAAAACCTCCGTGACCAGGACCGCGCTTAGGGGTGTAGGGGCCCTGAGGCAACAAAGGAGTGGAGGCCCCTAATTATTTTAAAATGAACATTTTTTTAGTCAAGTGTTTTAAGTATTTATTGCGAAACAAATTAAAAAAAATTCAATAAACATGTGTAGATATAGTCAAGAGATAAGACAAGAAGAAGAAGTAGATATAGACAAGAATTATTCAAAATTAAATTACGGCGTTAATAAATGAAACCTTGCGAGCATTTTTCGACGAAAAATCGTTGATGATTTCGCTTAACATTAGTGCTTTTTTATCATGGATAGAAGTCTTAAATTAGCCTTTAAAATGACTATACAAATTATGAAAGACTTTATGTAAAAATAATTAATCTATGATAAAGTAACTTCATAAGTAAAAGAATATACGTCATTTTAATAAAACAAAATATTATACTCTAACTAGCATTGCCCGCGGCTCCGCCCGCGTTCAGATGACCAAAAACTAAATTCTTAGGTGTTACATATTAGTATACTCTTACATTGCAGTTTTTGTATTTTTCCTCAGAAATAAGATATTTTCCCGCGGTAAAAAGTATCCTAGGATCGCGCGCTACATCGCCCGGTTTATATAGCTTGAGCAGGCGGTCGAGCGATGCGGGGCAGAGGGGATGGACTCGCCGTAGGCATCTCAATGCTCGCCAAGCATTAAAAATGTTTCGCTACTAATTACTTCTAACAACGATATCTCAAAAACTATTCATCTGATTGATTTAGTGTAAAGAGCAATTTTAATCTGCATTAAATGACTAAGCTAACTAAAATATTCATTTGGATAAGGATTAATACCGAACTAAAGAAAATAACTTTGAAAATAACGTAATGTTTTTAATTAAAAATGTTAACATAAAAGTGGTTATTGTAAGTCAACCGTAAGAGATAGAGATATGCTATCGCGGACTTTTTTGTAGCATTTTTATAGATTTTGAATTCTCTAGTACATTACTTAACTGTATCTTTGCTAGTTTACGCGGCGTTCGCGTGGAAAGTTCCCATTTGGCGAGATTTTTTGCGACCTCTTCAACATTTGTCGCCGTATTTCAGCTAATTTACATAAAAGCATAATAAATTATATACCTAAACCTTCCTCAAGAATTACTCTTTCTATTGTTGAAAACCGTATAAAAATCCGTTCAGTAGTTTTCGAGTTTATCGCGTACAGACAGACAGGAGGACAGACAGGAGGACAGAAAGACGCGGCCGGGGGACTTATTTTTATAATAAGTATAGATAGGTAAATAGGTATTTTACGTATTCGAAAATATCTAATTAGGTATCTATTCTACATAAAAACCTCCATTTAGTTATTTTTTACATTTTAGTGCCTGGAAGCCGTTTTTTTTTTAATTTTTAATTTTTCCATTTTTAGTGTAGACGTAATAAGCAGGTAATTTGTAAGAAGAAAGTTTTTTAATAACATATTCGATTAAACAATTTATTTAAAAAAATCGTTTATTGTTGATTTTTTTTAAAACCGCTCGACCGATTTCGATAAAATTTCTATGGGACCACCTGGGAAGTATACCCTTTGAAACAAAAAAAAATTAAATTGGTTCAGGCGACTTCGAGTAATCGGTGAACATACATTAAAAAAAAAGATTCCGATGAATTGAATCCTCTTTGGAAATCGGTTAAAAATAAATAAACTCACGCAGAACAAAACGCATGATAATTAATTAATTATAACCCCTCTGTAACCTCTCTTTACCTGACTGCGGCGAACTGCGGTGAACGAATATGGATAAATTGTTTTTAATCTTTAAAAACAATATAATCAATCATATTTGTACAAGTATTATAGGTAAAAGTACGAAAAAATTTGAAATATAATAAAAACGAAAAAGTTGTTGACCAGTTAGAATTTGTTTTTGAAGTGAAACTTCTTTAGAAAGTATTTGAAACTCGATAAAATGGAAATGCGACACTAAAAAGAGACAAACACATAAATATATAGGATTAAGCCGGCAAGAGAATGTGATAGAATACATTGCCATGTTTCCATGGCAGCCGTTGTTATTTGATATAGAACACATTACACAGGAAGTGAAAAATTATAAAATTAATTACTGAATAATATGTAATGTATTTATTTATGTCAAATAAAATGTGAACTAACTTTGAAACTTGGTAAAAACATTATTTATAAAATAAGCCTTATAGTTATCCTAGTTCTGATACTCTACGAGTATATTAATCTCATTATCTCGTAGGTTACTTTTCTGAAGTTTCACTTCTAGTATGTGTGAACGCACGCACTTTTTTTTTAAATCATCTCTTGTGGGGGCACCTCTCCTGTGGCAGTGTGGAGGCCCCGGCGCTCCAGCCCCGGCTGCCCTCCCCTAAATCCGGCCCTGTCCGTGACAATTTAAAAATATATATAGGTTTTTATCTAATATTATTTTCCTTATTTTTTTTAATTTCAAATGATTACAAGTAGCGTAAAAAACTTAAACATGGTTATTATTATATATTTACCTATAACCATTTAAAAATATTATTAAATTTCATAGTTAACTCAGAAAATAATAAAAAAAGGAAAACATAATTTTTCCAAGTCTAACCGAAACTTTATAAGCCCCTAAAAAGACACTAAATTTTTTCCTCCCTAAAAATTCCACGGTGCCATTTTTTCTACCCCTAAATTTGGGGGGAAAGCCCCTGAGTTGGCAACAGTGGTTACCAGCACAAACCATGGATGTGGCACAAACTAAGAAATGTTACCAGTTATGGCATTATGCGGTTAACCACTAGATGTCATATTTATTATAAAATAATTCAAAAATTAATATATTTAACTCATTAAAATGTTCGATCATTTACAAATGTCAAAGTTAAGGATGTGCTTCGTTGTTAATCATGAAAAAAATTAAAAACAGAGTTTTCTGTAATTAACGCGAAATCTTTGAGATTATTGTAAAAAGTATCATCTATAAAATTTGTAGATTTTTTCTAGGCCTACAATTTTTGTATAATACATTTTTCGATAGAACGTCACAGTAGTCAGAAAATTAAAAAAAAACTATTTTTCAACGCTTTGCGTTCCCCATTTCTCAGGGGTAGCTGGGCAACGGGGGTATTTTACAAATTTCTATTTCTTATATATCTGTTAAAGTTTTAAAACCATAAAACTTCAGGTTTTTAATTATTTTCTTTTTCTCTTACAAATATACGGATTCCGTTCGGTCTATACATGCTATGGCTTCAGTCAAAAGTTAATGTAATATCCTTCAAGGGCGGCCTTATATATGGGCCTCATGTTTTGTGGAGGTACTTAACCGGGTACAACGTATCCCCCTGTATATTAATCTGCCGCGCTTTAGTAAATCCCAAAATCCCCGCTTGGGCTCCCCTACTATAAAGAGGCGTTCATAATTTTTTTTTTTTAACGTTGGGAAATGCATTTACGCACGAGGTGTGGGACTCACCGGCAAAGCCAGTACTACCCACTAAAACCCAACAAAGCCTTCCCCCGTCTTAATGGGGCGCCGCAGGATCACTTACACATTCAACTACGACGCCCCGACGGCAGATCTGCCGAAGCAGACCACAACAACCACGGGGTTGCTCCTAGATCCACTCTGCTATCGGAGAAGTACCAGGAGCAACCCGCATGGTACACCGCCCTCCGAAGACGGCCGCCTAATAACATACCTACAGCAGTGACCAGTGTCAAGTCTGGCAATATGTAAGTATAGTTCAATGAATATTTTATACTGTAATGTATACTTACATCAAAATTATCTTTATAGACGTAAATCTTTGATATTTCCAGTCTCTCCTTGTGTTTTATTGATATTATTTTCACATAAGGGCACTGAACAATACTGATAATACTTAATTCCACTCATTTTCAATATTCTTGTTCCTTTTTCAATTAATAGTTAATCGATCGAGCCTACAGATTACGGAATATAATCGAGCTCTTTATAGTCTACACTCGCTCTGTATA